TGACAATACCTTGTTCAATGGGACTCAAGACAAGTCCCATTGTCTTGAGTTGCAAGACACTGCAAGCATTGAGGCATTTAATCTGCTAAGTTGTAAATGGCATTTACATTACCTGTAGATGTGTTCATTCAGTTTGTGCCAGAGATTAGAAACAGTAAAAGCTGGTAGGGGAAAAAAAAATTGTCACTTCTGACCGACTTTGGCATGTGGAGGCAAGTCAGATTTATCTTAGCACTACAGTATCAGCCAATGGCCCTGAAGCAAGTAGAGAACAAATCTAAAATGCATTCATGTTATGTTGGATTCAAGGTCCCCTAACTGGACCTAACTGAATGTGTTTCCCCTTTTAAAGAAACAGATGCCTTTTAAACTTACACTAAACAATAGGGCTGCAGTGATAAACTTCAGGCATAAGGTAGGGCAGCTTTAAGGGGCAAACATCAGAGTGTCTTTGGATGCTTACTTAAATTGTGGACTGCCTACTTAAATTTTGTTTGACTTGTGAGTGGTCAAGGTAGCAAGGATTTGCTAAAGGTTTGGACTTAGAGTAGGATTCTGAACTCAAGATCTCCTGACCAGGACCACTAAGAAAGCAGAACACATCCTCTTCCAGGCTGGAACTATCAATGCATCCTCAGAGCTGTTTTAAAACTGAAGGTAGAATTTCTGAATGGTGTGCACCAATCACTATGTTACCTCCAAAAGAGGTACATTTTAAAAGAACTAAAAGATAAGCAACCTCAGGGTAAGTGAATAATCAGATAAAGTAGCTTAATAAGGATTTTCCAATTTAGCATTTATCACATCAGTTATAAATTACTTCTTGTAATTTAAGGTGAAGACAAATATTAAGTTAGCCTTATTTAAAAAGTGTAATATTAAAACTAAAGGGAGATATAAATTTTATCAACAGTCAACATGGTCAGGAGTCAGAATTAGGATCTCAACCAGTAGAAGAAGTACACCAGCTCTATTTTTATCAAAAGAGAGACTATTTTAAAGAAAGCAGTACAGTGTATTGCAGAAGTAGTGCAAACCGTGCTTTTAAATTCTTACCTTAGAAATGAGATATCATTCCTTCACTTTCTAGTGCTTTTAAGGACTCATTTTTGATTCTGTGCATTAAATCATTCCAGGAACACACAAAGTAACATGACAAATTATGGGAAATATTAAAAATGAATAAAACTTGAAGCTAACAAAAATGCAGTTAAAAAATAATCTTACCTTAAAAAAAATCATATAATTGTTATCTTCCGCAGATACACAATGTATACGTAAAAACTCATGAATTATTAGTCGACTGTATTCTTAAAAGTCTGTGAATAATATTAACTTGTACTATATACAATAATCCTATTATTTAAAATTCTGAATTTCTCCCAAGAACTCCAAATCTATTACAGATGTTATTACATGAATTCTCACAACAAATCCAATGAAACAAGAGGAGGGCAGGTACCATAATCTCTTAAGCCTGAACCGTATCACAAACTCATTTGAAGGTTTAAATAAGTATTTCCCAAGAGGCTTCCATCTAGGACTCTGTCCTTTTTCCCGAAGGAAACTAAGTTATAATAACTTTCTGAGCTTAATTCCAAATATATTTTTCAGAAAGGGGATTAGTATCTGCCTCAAGGTAAAGCCACAGCCTATGAAAACAATGTGAAAAAAGTTTCATAATGTCTAAGAATTGGGAGTAATTAAAAATGTAAAAGCACTAGTTATAATTACATGGGTGAACAGATTTAATTTTACTATTCATGTATCTTGGGAGAATTTTTACATATTATACACATAGCTGTGTGTGTGTGTGTATATATATATATATAATATATATATTATATATGGTGACTCAAACTTTTAAAAAATGACCTGCTATCTATATACATAAAACTTCAGGATTGCTTTTTCCATTTTTAGTATAAAGATTCATTACTATAAAATTATTGGCTCCCTAGCCTGTGATTTCTGGAAAACGGGGTGTTGTTTCAGAAGCCGTGTAAGTACAATGTTAAGTAGATCATTATTTTGACCAATTTTCAAAACTTTTATGTTCAGTGTTTACAAATTTAAAATAATTGTACCTAACTCCATGGCTATCCACCATAAAAATCAACCCCAATTACTGGATCATGACACTTACTGTTATCCATAAAAATAAGTACAAATTTAAGTGAATCTTTAAAGCAACGATCGTCCTCTACTGTCATTGGGATATTACGGTCAAAGCAGTTAGTATCTGGCCAGTCTATAATGCTACACTAACATATTTTATTGCTAATTTACATTATTTTCTAAATTTGTGTTAATATCCAATTTGCTCTTTTAAAGAAAACTTGTCCTTATAAGCTATTATATTAAATTTACTAGATTCTAGAATCTAGGGTTCAGGCTACTATTGCTGTACTGGGTTTATGATACGATTTCTACTTTAGAAAGCTATCTTCAGCAATGGTATGGTTAGACTTGGCAAAAGTAAACAAAGTTCTGATGTACTGGATAGTATTTTATTTGATACTATCCAAATATCAAACAGAAATTGAGACTGCATAATCGAGGCATGGCTGTAATAAAAGTTAAATTCTACTTGAGTGCATCACATATATTCTACTACTTACGGTTAAATGATTCGTCCAGGGACATCAACTCTATGGATATGGGGTATTTGTATATTTAAAAATAAAAAATATATATACTATTTAGCTGTATATAAACAGTCATGCCCTGAATGCTGAATGTGGATACTCACCTGTCTGCAAGGAATCCTCAGGTGCATTAGTGTACTGGCACATTGTTTCCCAAAAGCATTTGCACGTGCATGTATATTTTAACTATTACCAATTGTTCAACATCACTTTAAACTATTTTCTCATTAGTAAAGCTAATTATCTTAGACCTTTCCTACAAGAGAGGTTCACATTTCGTTGATCACAACTATACTCTCATTGCCTCGGGAGAATCCCAGAACCTCTGGGACTCCTTGCCCCAGCAGAGCTCTGCTGGTTCCTGCAGACCCAGATGGGACTTGAGTTTCAAGTTCAATGACTCTTTACTGAGATAAACGAACTTTTCTAAATTTATTCTCTTCAGCTCTGGTGTCTCGACTGAAATGAAATCAACTGCACTGTTCCATTTTATATTAGGAGGCATCTCATATTAACTAAGTAGTTAGTCATGAATACCATTTATAATAGAAATAATTCCTTTAAGTGTAGTCTGTTTTCTAAATAATGTGCATTTTATACCATATGATAAGGCTTAAGATATATATGATGTAAAAATCATCTCTGTTGTGTCAAGATGGGTAAAATATTTTGTGTATAAACTTCTTGAGCTGCTACAATGATTCCAAAGAGGCTCCACACAGCAGCATGAAGGCACACCGCAGAAGACAGCACATTTCCTGAGAATGTGGAAATAAAATTTCTCTTAAAGCTTACAGTGTGTTGAGACACTAAGTCATGGGACATCATCTCGACACTGTGCTTTGATTCATGTTGCTTTGAGAAGCCAAGAATTTGATGTAAATATATGTGGTTTAAAAGTTACCAAAGTTATTAAAAGGGTGTGATCCATTCTGCCACCAATTTCCTATCCTAGGACAAAGAACATGAATTTGTGTTCTGGATATGAAATGCTGGATGAAAAAAAACACCTGTGGATTTCCAATCTTAACCATACAGCAACTTGGGTGTTCGGTCTCATTGTGAAGAACAGTGTGTGCATGCTGCTTAATGCCATGTATTTTCTCTTCCCTCTGAGTCCTCCCGGCCGCATTCCGTGTGACAGCTTTGGTGAGGGGAAAACAAATTCAGCAGCCAGGTGTCTGGTGCCTAGCACCAGACAAAGATGACCACCAGTATTTAAGCACCTAACCCTTTAAGTGTGAATACTGTTTATGTGAAAAGCTAGCAGCAATATAAAATATGGCTAACTTAGTTTAATGATGACCTGCATCTCTGAATATGTTTTAGGAAGAATTTATACCATCTAAGAATCCTAAAAGAATATACTAACTGAGATTAATTTTGGAAATTTGTATATGTTAATGCATCTAAAGACGGAGAACTGTTTTCCTAATCATTAAACAAAAAAGTACATTTCCTAACAGAAATGTAAAAAATATATATAATACATTATTTAATATATATTATATAATACATACAGTGTACATATTATATAATGTATATATTATATTGAGATAAAACAGCTGACAATTATTTCCAAATTTCATAAATTGTTCAATGGATTTGGTTCACAACATAACAAACCGAAAAAATACCCTAATGATCACATCACACTTCAAAAGCACACTGTTCACAAACCCCCCAATTGCAAACTTGGAGGCATTTTTCAGTGTCACAGAAATTTTCAGAGGTGTGATACATTTGCTGACCATATCCTAATAAAAAAACTGTATAAAGCAATAGGTTCATTTTTGTTAGTTAAACTTTTACATGTACAAATAAATCAACTTTCAGAGTCATTTTGCTGTAAGGTTTTGCAGGATAAGGCACTCTCTCAGCCGGCACGGCCTTGCTTGCTGTGTACATGTTAACGAAGCATCAGCCTGTCACTGCAACAAATGAGAGTGCAAAGTATTGCTCTTCATATTTTCACGAGAGAGAGAATGAAGAGAAAAAACTAATATAGCTGCGTAAATTAAAGTGGATAGCCATACATCTCTGTAATAATGAAACTATGTAGCATTGAGCAGACTTCTGATGTCAGTATTGGATGGTAGTAGACTAGCTGTAGCACTGACATTAAAATTCTGCTTCTGTAAGAAATTATACATATTAGGAAAGAAGGCCAATAAACCATTATTTTCTCCTAATAAGAGTAGCTGACCCTTCACTAAATACTGAACTAAATGACAGCTTTACAAAACTATTTCAAGTATTCATTATCACAGTGAAAATATGAGACCAATGTTAGAGTGAATGATTTGAAAATTCCTTTGATGAAAAAGGGTACTAAATCAAAACATATACAAAATGCTTCAACGCATTTCTTTATGTGATATGAATAGAAAGATTATTCATAAAAAGTTAGAAAAATTAAGATAAATTATATATTAGTACACCTTCCCAACCACATTTTCTATAAAAATCCAGAATAGTGTACTGGTACTTCAATCTACACAATAAAAATGCCTGGACTTGGCAGATATCTTCTATCTGTGCATGTATTTTCTCAGTAGAAGGTTTATTTGTTGCAGTCACTTTTTGAAAGTTTTATTTTAATTGTGAACCTTATTGAATCATCAGTAAACCCAGCTGATTGGGACCCACTGTGGCTCCATTCTCAGTTTCTCTATGGCAGTTTGTAGTTTCTCAAAGGCTTTGTCTAGATTGTCATTTACAATGATCAGATCAAAATAGTGGTTGTATGCTCTTTGAATCCGTGCACTTTCATCCACTGTTTTCTTCAAGTCAGAGTCCTGTCAAAGAGTTTTAAAAGGAAAAGTTTACATAATGTATATTTAATTGCTCAAAACCAACTCAAAGTGAATAAGTAGGTTGGATATTTGTTTGTTGTGATTCTGATACTAATCCTCAAAGTCTAATCTATATAGATTGTTAAAAAAGACATTACCATCTGTTCATATCCTAGTCTTTCCAGCTGGCACTCATGTTTGAATTTATGAGTATTCTGTATCTTCTGTTTCACTGATACTAAGGTAAGATTCCTGATTAAAAGACTGCTGACAATATCTTGGGGTGAAACCCAAAGTAATAAAAGAATTCTTGTAGGTGACTGGTCTCTAGCCCAACTGCATCACCCTTTTCAAAACATTTTTATCGTATGGATTCTGTAACTCATGGAACCCAATCTGCAGCGGCTGTTAAGCTCAAAGCCAAATTTGCTGCCTTTCTCTAAGAAAAAGAATCTCAGAAATGTATTTTGAAGGCCGCCTGTCCATGCTCCCCACCCCCAACAACACACACACACTTTTATCTATCTTTTTAGCTAGTACTGTTCGTATTTCATAAAGTATTTCTAGTCATTTTGGAACAATGTGGGGGAATAAATAAGTAATGGGTTTTGCATGAGCAAGTAAAGCTTTTCATTAAATTGCAAGTGTTATGAAATTTCATAATGCTTCTACATGTTCTTCAAATACTGAGTTCCTATTAAACCGTCTACTATATTTCATAATTTGTGGCTATAAAAATGAATAAGAGAGAATGGGCTCCTACCCTCCAGTGGAGGAGACAAATAAAGGGCAAATAAACAAAAACCTGCAAGTTGTAACAAGTACTATGAACGAAACCAACCAGGAACAAAGAATTTTAAGAGATCTACTTTAGACAGAGTGCTTACAAATACTCTACAAATGAAGAAATGATATTTAAACTGAGTAAATGACATTTAAACTGAGAACTATAGTGGGAGAAAGACCATTCCAGGCAGAGGAAATAGGAATGTAAAGTTCAGGAGGAAAATGACCCAGATGTGTTTAAGATACTGAAAGACCAAGATGGAGGGAGGCTTAGGGAGGGTGGGTAGTAAGTTGAGATAGCCCAGGCTAGGTCATGGAGGACCTAGATGCAATGGAAAGACATCTCTGGATTATGATGGTGGCAGAGGAGATGGAAATGACACCAGACTAGAAATATATTTTGGTGATAAAATCATCAGGATTAACTGATGGGCTGGATATGAAAAGTGAGGAATACGAATGAATCAAAAATAGCTCGAGGGGCTTCCCTGGTGGCGCAGTGGTTGAGAGTCCGCCTGCCGATGATGCAGGGGGACACAGGTTTGTGCCCCGGTCCGGGAAGATCCCACATGCCGTGGAGTGGCTAGGCCCGTGAGCCATGGCCGCTGGGCCTGCGCGTCCGGAGCCTGTGCTCCGCAACGGGAGAGGCCACAACAGTGAGAGGCCTGCATATGGCAAAAAAAAAAAAAAAAAACAGCTCGAGTTTCTAGCTTGAATAAATGGGTGGTTGCAGAAGATGCAGAGTTGAGGGGGTGGGAGTGTGAAAAACACGATATTGGTGAGAGGAAACAAAACATTCTACTTTGTTTGTACATGTTAAGTTTAACACGTCTGTGAGACATCCAAGTGCAGACGTAACGTTAAGTAGGTAATGGTTATATAAGTTGGAGCTCTGAGGTCTGGGTTATCTACATATAAATTAGGAATCATCAGCATAACAACGATATGTAAGTTAGTGGATTTGGTGAAAACACCTAAAGGAAAGTATATAGAGAGAAATGGGTTCCCAACTAAGCCTGAGGGATACTAGTACTATAGTTAATATTTTCACTAAGATTTCGAAATCAATTTGAAACAACTATCTTTTATTATAGATGTATAAACAGGCCACAATTCAACTTGTAAACAAATCTTACCTAATACAGTCATTAGCAATTTGTCTTGTTAAAAAAAAAAAAGTTCTTTTTTGAGAATAACAATCCTGTAACAATAATGGAGTATACCATATAGATGGAAAAATGAATTAAAAAATCTCTATGTATGGCTCTAGAATGATCTCCAGAATATATTAGTAAGTGAAAAATGCAGGCAGACTACTGTATGTAGTAAGTTACCTTTTATGTAAGAAATGAGGGAGGGAGGATACACATACATATTTGCTTATATTAAAAAAAAATTGTAAAAATGACTATGTGGGTAGGAGGTAACAGAGTAGAGAGGATAGGGAAAGGCTAGACTTTTGTTTGTTTGTTTTTTGCGGTATGAGGGCCTCCCACTGCTGTGGCCTCTCCCGTTGCGGAGCACAGGCTCCGGATGCGCAGGCTCAGCGGCCATGGCTCACGGGCCCAGCCGTTCCGCGGCATGTGGGATCTTCCCGGACCGGGGCACGAACCCGTGTCCCCTGCACCGGCAGGCGGACTTTCAACCACTGCGCCACAAACAGGGAAGCCCCTGTTTGTTTGTTTTTAAGATTTACTTTGAAACTATGAAAATGTATAGAATTATATTACAACAAAATCAAATTCAAATAAAAATAAAAAGAGCAATACCTAAAAAGCAAAAGCAAAATGAAACAAATCTGTGTTTCAAGTTGATGCCTTAACCACAGAAAAGAATTATTTTAGCGACTTTAAAATAATATTCAAGGGATATATCATAAGAACAATTTTTTTAAAAAAGTTTAAGTCTGAAACTTAAAACTTTTCAATAATCATACTGTTAATGTTAATATTGTTACTCAGAAATTATATATATAGTATGTGCTTAGTTTACACATGTAAAGTCAGAAACTACGTTAATGTCATCAGGAACCAAGACTTTCAGCATAGGAGGAAAAAAAGATAAACATAGTCCAGGAAGTAAAAATGTAAAATGTGAGTTGGAACTATCCAACTGAATTAATGATGTATATTTTCCAAAAGGGGAAAATATATTTCCTTCATCTGGCCACTGAGAAGACCTAGAAACAATGACAAACTAAGTTGAATGCACACCTTTAGCTTCTATATTATCTCTAAATACCATTTCCCACTAAAAGGAACCAGGGCTTTTGGAAGGCTGGTTCCAGATCTGGGCCAAGAAATGTGTAAGGATAACCTGGAGCAGCTCGTCATACCAGGAAGCACATCAAAGTTTATGGGGTTGTGTTAAAAAGACTCAGAAGACAAGATGAATAGGCTCTTCTTAGCTGAAGACAGGACAATTTAAACATCAGAGAGTAATAGCTGACCTAAGTACACAGAGTATTCCAAGTGACTTTAAAACACAGCGATTTGATTTGACTGTATATACTTAGTGGGATGAACCCTAAGGATAAAGGAGAAAGAGACAGTTCACAGTAATCACACCTGGTAGTATTTGTACACTTATTTTCAGACTGTTGTATGTGTACTGTGAGATGAATCAAATGAGCAATTATGTGCTATATTCTAACACTCCCGGTGTTTTTGAGAACTGGGATACTCAGCCTGGGAGAATGGAGTTATATATATGAAAGAGGTTAAATAAAACCCTGTAATCCTGAATTTGATTGGGAAGTATCAATATATATTCATGATTTAGTTTCCTTCAAACATACAAACAGAAAAGCACATAACCAAACTAGTTCTGTCTACCTAAAAGGTGCATTTAGCTAGAAACAATGATCAATCTTGGGACAATGTGCACCCCTAGTATTACGGTCCTAAAATACCATTTACTCTAAAAGGAACCAGAGCTTCTTGGAGAAGTAACTGATTCCTGGCTTGGAATAGAAAACGTACAAGATGAGCCTGGAGCATTTGTCATATAGCAAGGAAGCTATCTCAGACGATTAGGCTCATGAAATAGGTCTCAAGGGCCAACTTAAATAAGCCCCTGTTGGTCAAAGATGGGGCGATTTGAACATCAATAAGAATAATAATTGCAAAAGAGTAATAAAACACATCAAGTAGGTTTAAATGCATGTGCTCATGATGAAACTAAAAAAACCACAAACCTTATTTGGTCACCTGTCGCCTCTGGAGACTGTTACTGAACAAACCCATTATTCTGAAAACTGACCCTTAAAGGGGAAGTATCAAGCATTATGTTCTGACTTTCCTATATATACTCTACTTCAGAGTCATCAACTACTTGATAAGGAAAAGTTATTATTTAGAACAATTCTAGTTTATAAATGCAGAACAAATGACAAACTTGGAATAACACCACTTCACAATTCCTAAAAAATTAACGGAGCCAGGCAAAGATCAATAAAAATTGCTAAAATCATTAGGTGAAGAGCTACTGAGGAACTTTACAGATCAGGCCCCACTTTTTCTATGACCCAGTTTTTTTAAACAACTAAGTTAGAAGGTTAAAAGAGAGGGGAGGGAGGCAGTGAAGATTTACAGATTAAAACAGTCTAAAGGGAGAGGTCTGCTTCCAGCTAATATGCAATCACAGATATCAGACTAACCTTCCTGCCTGACAACTAAGACAGACCAAATGTATGGAACACTTTTTAAGACACTGTACATCAGGTAATGGAAGACAGGGATTCCAGAGAGACAGGAAGCAAATGAGATGAGCCCTACGATTACCCCAGGTTACTGGCTTGAAAGAGTTTCCAAGCTGCAACACAGTGAGGTGGAGCCCAGGAGGACACTACTGGACTCTAAGTTGGGACAGAGCTGAGAGCCCAGGGAGAACAAAGTAGCAGGAGTTTGCAGGACAGAATACTGGATAGAATAGCAGTATGGAGAGAGAACTCTGGAGATTTGTAAAGGTCCCCCTCCAGCATTCAGCTGAATACCAATCTGTGCACGTTACCACTACCCAGGGTCGCCAAAGAACCACCAGAAAGGATGAGAGGTATTCTTTCTGAGCCAGAAATAGTACCCACGCCCACCAGGCAGAACAGGAAACCTCATGTCACATGGGCCATCTGGGAGAGTGCTCAAATGGGTCTTGCCTCAGTAGTGAAGAATAATTGCCCCTAGAATGAGAACTGCTCTGGTTCTACCTAACAAATTTTTAAAGCAAGATCTGAAAGGAACAAACTGTTTCCACATTACTGCATCCCAGGACAAAGCTCACAATGTCTGGTATCCAATAAAAAATTACCAGGATTGCAAAGAAGCAAGAAAATAAGACCCATGAGGAGCAAAGTCATTCAGTCAAAACCAATCCAGAAGTGATGCAAACGTTAGAATTCGTTGACAGTGATATAAAAACATTGATAACTATATTTCAAATATTCATAAAGTTCAGTAGACACATGGAGCAACCTGCAAAAGAACAAAGAGGATTAAAACTACCTGATCTCAAGGCTTATCACCTATAGTGTGGAAGAGGTAGAAGAAGGAGGGAGGGACTCTGAAGGGGCACAAGGAAACTTATGAAGACGAGGGACATGCCTGTTATCTTGACTGCAGTAGCTTCATGCGTGTATACATATGCCCAAGCTTATCAAGTTGTATACTTTCAACGTGTACAGTTTATTGTATATCAATTATACCTCAAGCTGGGGGAAAAAAAGAGATTTAGAAGACATCAGGTAAATGCAACATGTTAATCTTGCTTGGATCCTGATTTGAACAAACTGTCAAAAAAAAAAGATAAATACTGAGGAAATTCAAATACAGACTGTATATTGATGATATTGAGAAAAAGTTGCTCTCCCTAATGTTTGATATGCTAATGGTGTTATGGTTATGTCCAAAAAGTCTATCTTTTAGAGATAAATACTAAAGTACTTATGGTTGATATGATATCAAAGATTTACTTCAAAATAATTCATGGTAAGGGAGGAAGTGAAGAGAGGTCTAAGTGAAACAAAAATGGCCATGTGTTATTGAAGCTAAGTGATGGGTACTTGGGAGTTCATTTCTTCCCTCTTTTGTACATATTTAAAATTTTCCGTAACATGAGAAGAGAGAGGAAGAACAAGAGAAAAAAGACATGTAACAACTAAAAGTCAGAACACCTAACTCTACCAATAGTAAACCTTGTGATGAACATACTTGTTATTGGTCTTCGGGACCAGTTTCCACATTAGTAAAATGAGGGAGTTAGATTAATATGCACTTTTTAACATTGGTCCATTTCATTTACGTAGGGGGGGTAAACTTGTTTTAAGATAGAGTGAACAATGGTTTCTAAGTAAAAGCAATACGGTTCCAAATCCTAACTACATCTAGGGAACAAATTTTTATTCTCCAATATCTTATACAGTGTGTTTATTTCATAAATATGGATAGAATTAAACATGCCCAAAAGAAAAAGGAAAAATTTTAGGAGGAAAATAGTATTGTTAGCCTGAAAAGAACTGCTTACCGTCAAAAGCTTAGTAGTGATACCAGCATCCACTACAGCCTTGTGCATGGCACGTAAGGTCTCTAGTTCGGGAGCAGCAATAAACACAACATAGGGCATGAACTCGGATGTCCTCAGCACTTTCAGGGCCTGTGTAGAAGAACAATTACAAACCAATTTATACAGGATTAGAATTTGAATTATGTTACCCTTTAGTTTATACTAAATAATCAAAGTCCATCTGCCCTCTTCCTCAAGATAAAGGACATAATTTAATACTTGCTATCTGCCCCCCCTCCCTTCTATCCTTTTGATTCCATACAGTACTTTCCTAAAATGGTGATCCATTAAATTTTGTTCTGACCTCAATCTCACTACTTTCTGGTACCCTTGAACCAAGGAAAGTATTAAACTTAATGATCCCCAAATCATCAAGAATGATGTAAATGCTTTCCATGTTAATTGTAGAATTCTGTTAATATTGAAAAAGCAGAAGTAATTTCAGTGTCCATTAATTGGAGTGGTTATATAAATAAATATATATCTGCACTATGAAATACCATGCAGCAATTACAAAGAACAAAAAAATCTCTACAGTACCTAACATGAAGAGATCTTCAAGAAATACTGTTTAATGAAAAAAGGTTAAAGAATCTGTATAAAATTTTTCCATTTATGTATAAGAGAAACAACAACAAAAATAGAAAACCCACTGGGTTGAGTGTAGAATGGTGAGAAGGGGTCAATAAGGGAGACATGGAATGAGAATGAAATGAATGGTGAGTGGGTGGGTGTGTGCTGGGTGGAAGGGGTGTGACTTTAATTTTTATTCCTCATGTTTCAGCCTTGTTCAAATTTTAAATTTAACATTTCCTAACACATGCATTTATATATTACTTAAGCATGTAAATAAATACTAAACTTCTATCAAGCTTCTATAGCTATCCATGCCTCTGTTGGCTAACAGATCAGAGATTTATTTAACTAGTTGTTGACGCATAATAAGGTTCCCTATTGTCACAAGTAATAGAGGGAAAGAGCCACCCTCATAATCTGAAGAAGAAACAAAAACTCCACAGGAAATAAAACTTAAAAAATATCTTTGGAATCATGCAGCTTACTTGTGGGTTGACATCCAAGATGCAAGTTCGTCCAGTTTGGACAACTTCAAGAATAGAGTCAATCTTGGTTCCATAGAGATTTCCTTCATATTCCCCATGTTCCAAATATTTTCCAGCTTTAATATCTGCTTCCATCTCAGATCGTGACACAAATTTATATGCCTGGCCATCTTTTTCATCTTCCCTTGGTTTCCGTGAAGTAACTAAATAAAATAGCGTTGAGAATTTGTACAGAGACAGTGCAGGGTATTAAAAAACAAACTAAAAGGCACAGGGTAGCCTAAGTCTTTTCCATTTAGTGCAGGGGTTGGCAAACTATGGCCTATGACCAAACCTGGCCTGCTTCCTATTTTTGTAAATAAAGTTTTATGGACCACAGCCATGTTCATTCATTTTATGGCCTATGGTTTCATTCGTTTTACAATGGCGGAATAGTTGTGACACAGACTAGATGGCCTGCAAAGCCTAAAATATTTACTATACGTGGCCCTTGAATAAAATTGTTTGCAGACCCCTGATTAGTAATGTTTTAAGAGGTAGTCTCCAATATACAATTTATATCCAAAAAATGTGCTTTATAAAGTCAGTTTGAAACTCAAAATATATTTATTTACCTAGAAGCAGAGCCCTAAAGTTAAATTCTTAACTATGGTGAGAGCTAATAAGTGTGAGGTATATTGCAAGTGAACATCTTTTCCAGCTGACCAGCACTCCCCTTCTCCTTAAGGAATATCAATTACAGCCTTTCTTCACACTTCTTTGAACATTTCCTAATTAAGTGTCCAACAGATGAGCAAAATTCTATTCTTAGTTGGTATTATCAATTTTCTGAAGTGTAGTTTTACCCATAAATTATCTATCCTTTATCTTGCCCCAGCACCAAACTTTTCTTCTAGCTTCCTTCTAATTAACATTCCCAAATGCTAATTGTTTGGTGTTGCACCTCGGTGGATCTAGCCGCCTGGATGTTATTATGGTCTAGTAACTTTCTGTACTCTGACCTGAAGTATTCTGAGAGAATGAGAAGAGACCAAGTCAAAAACTTAAAACATCCTTTTGTCAGGTATTTTAGAGACATACAACTCCTTTGCAACTTGGCTGTGCTAGGAATGGACGATTATCACTTTTTCAACTGTTGCAAAGGTGCAGAGTTAGGTATTCTCTGCCAACTTGCTAGCACTCCCTAGGAAGAAAAGTAATTTGTGTATGTGTGTGTGTTATTTTCAAGTTTAGCAACTTAATCTGAGTTTGCCTAGATCAGATATAAAACAGTATTCTACTTCTATTAATCAAGTACTTATACATGCAGAATATCTGCCAAAATCATTAACCACACGCAATTAAAGTTACAAAGTAACCAGATGAAAAACTGACAGAATTTTGACTATTTGAAATAAGCACAACACATCAAGAAAACTTTTATAAGAAAAAAACTTTAAGTTCAAGCTCAATAATAAGGGTCTAATTCATAAATAAGATTATTATGTACAAGAGGATTCCCTTTTTCCCCTGCTGTTTTCTGGCTCATTCCAGACCACTGTGGAGAGATTTATAAAGTCACTTAAAGAGCTTCAAGATGCTATGATGGCTTTTCATATTCAAAAATGTGTGATCTCTAAGGTTTCTGGGATTATTCACCAAAGGTGGTATGATAAAACTCCTAAGGCAATTTTAAACTCCCCAAATACATACATACTAGGACTTGGCTTAATATCCGTAAAGATAATTTTAGAAGAGTACGACTTTTGGGGAGGCACTACAGTGAAACCATTTATGGAAACGTGCTGCTTGAAATAAATATGTACAGGCACACACACTGCCCCCCCAACACTACCTCCAACATGTGGAGGGAATCTCAAATTCTTGGTGAAATGTTTTTAGTTTACAAGCGAATTTTAATGACAATACCATTCTCTAGTGAAGACTCAAAAAAGAAATCTACATTGGCACATAATTAAGCCCCTTTCCATTTCTAGAACAGAGAAATTAGAACAGGGTGGATTGACTACAGCCGATTCCTTAGGCTTATATGCTAAGCAACTAAGTAATGCGATTGCTTAGAATTTAAGTTCTGTGATTGACAGGCAAAATTCTAATCTTTAGTAGCTCTTCAAATAGTTAGGAAATAATCAACAAAGTAACATTTTATTTAACTATCCCAAGATGTATTAAAGGGAAAACATGATTCATAAGGTAGCTTGTCCACCTGGATTAATAATTTTTTATATTTTATTTTAGGACCATTTCACAATATAAAGAGAAAACTAAGTCAATTTAATCCAACACCAGCATTTACGTCCTTCCCTATGAGACTTCCCCAACCAGCCCACCAATGTGTGGCACAAGACTGTGTATCAAAAATTAGGCAAACTTGTTACATTTCATCAGTATTATTTTTGTGTGTGTTGATTCTGAGGCTTAAAACAAACAAACTAAACACTACATAAACATGAATGATTTAAGGAAAAGTAAACCACCACCCACATTATATGAAGAAGTGATACTTGACAATGTATGGATATACATAAATCTTTTATATATAAAAATTCAGACTTGAATCTTTACTAAAAATAAGTCTTGAAAGGTAAAATAATACATCTTCTGGAAATTAATTTGGCATGAAGAAATCAAGAAGTTGAAATAAATATATGTAATACTTCTATATTTATAAATCTCTCTATACATCCTTTGGTCTAATAATTTTACATCTGAGATTTATGTATACACATTTTATCATCTCTTTATTTATAACAAAAAAGCCACCCAAACCATATAAATGGGTGATAACAGTAAAGCATGGTGTACTTATATGCTGGAATATTAAGAAGCTAACACAATTAACTTTTTTAGTGTTTTTAATCAGGATAAAATATACATAACATAAAATTTATCATTTTAACCATTATTAAGTGCACAATTCAGTGGCATTAAGTACAGTAACACTGTTGTGCAACCATCACCATTATTCATCTCCGGAACCTTTTTATCATCCTATAGAAAATAAAAAATTACACTCACTGCTTAATATTCTCAGAGATACAGAAGAGATAGCGCCCACAAACAGATGATGCTGTGGGAAAAAACAGGAAACAGAAAATAATCCTAAAATGAAAAATGTGACTACTTATGATAAAACATTGATGGGATAGAAGGCAAAGAACTCAAGGTAATCTTTTAAAGAGTAGAATAAAAAGAGAAAGGGTTGGACAACATGATTTAAAAAAGTAAGAGACTGAGGAGATGAATCCAGGATGTTCAACATCCAGCTAATAGAAATTCTAGAAAAGGTGAATAGAGAAAACAGGGAGAAATCATCCAAGAAATAGTAATTCCCCAGAATTGAATGACATGCATCTCTAGTCTGAAAAGCTCACTAATCATCATCACAATAAATATAAATAGACGCGCACAAAGGCACATAATTATTCAATTATAAAGTAATGAAAACCAACGAAATAAAACGACTGAAGGAAACATCAGGTCATGTATGAGAGGACAAAAATTAGAATGACATTAGACTTCTTAACAAAACTGGGTTAAAGAGTAACACCTTTTGGGTTTTACAATCTAGACTTTCTATTCTCAGATAATCAATCAAATAGGAGACAAAAAAATACACAACTTCAAATACAAAGATGCAGAAATTACATCCCATACAGCATTTTTTTGGTCAAGTTACAAGGCATGTGCCGTAGCAAAACAAGGCAATAAACCAAGAAAGAAAAAGAATGGGACCCAGGAACAATAGCTTCAACCCAGGACAGCAACAAAGGGGAACATCCCTATGTGAACGTGTGGCAGCCAGAGTGGAGAGTGTGTAGCCCTCACTGAAGCAGGAAGGCTGAGGGTTGTGGGACAGAGGTCTCCAAGAAAAAAGCATGACTTACTAAATAAGAGGTTCTTTGGTTTAATACAAAACTATACGCATGAACACATAAGACAAGGTAAAGAGGGGAAGAAAAAAACGAACTCTAGAAATTGCTGGGTTGGGGGAGAGGAAGAGGCTGTTCAAGAAAGTGAAACTGAATTAACTGAAACTAGAGCTATCTTTATGCTGGGAGGATACTCAGGAAGTCAGGAGGTAAGGCCTACACTGGACAGAACAAGAAATAGCAGAATGAAGACATTATTAAGAAATATGGAAGACTAACAAAATAAATAGCAGAAAGATTGAAAAGTGACTGTTTCTGGTAAGTAGGCCAGAGGTGGGTAGAGGAAAATGGAGTTATTTTTCATTACATATTTTTAAGAACTACTTGATTAAAATATGCTACATGTATTAATTTGATAAAAATTAAAAATAAAATACTTTAAAATACTTTGATCACAGTGAGATTTTTATTTTGTTAACTACTTAACTATGATTTGTCTGATTTAGTGATTTACAGTGCCTACAACGGAACTCAAAGTCTTACCCTGAAGGGATTACAAACAGCACATGAGGACAATGACAGCGTTGTTGCCCCAATACACCCCTAAACATGTTAGCAATAAGATTACTCAATGAGAACTAAATGTCAAAGCATACTGGATGAAAGCAGAGAAACTCTAAAACTCATCCAAAAGAGATGGAGTGATGTTAGGCTAAGATTTGACATGGAAAGCTTAAAGGCATTAAAATACCTACAGAAATTCTGTGTTAATCAAAAGGGGGTTTGGTCAGCAATGGAAGCACAGAAAGGGGACTTAATAAAGGCAACATTGACTTGTGTTCAGGGGAGAGCGCATGTAAGTTCCCACAAGTAAAGGCTCATATATCTCCAAAATGAATGCTATCACTGCCTTATTATAAGGACTAATACACCTTTGTATTTAACTCCTTGCTCTAACTCCATTCTCATCAAGCATGCTTCTGACATTATTTAACTTTCCTTGTAAATGTGCAAATAGAGAAAGAACACAAAAATCATAAAATGAGTGTCTGGTTCATCTAATGGTTATATTTCCCATCAGTATTATTGTATTTTGTATATAAATAAATGTGACCTCCATTAATGCTGCCTGCTCTGGAAGAGGAATCTCTCTTGATGTGCTATCAAAAATCAGGTTTAGGACCTTACAGGACTGAAAGTGACAAGCCAGATCACGAGTGTCAGAGGATCCAGCAGGTTTCCCCTGCTGGATGAAAATGGGTGAAAATACAACTTTTCAGATACACATCAACTGTACAAGAAAATGCAAGGTTAATGCTGATTTTGCCACAACCCTTAACACTTGCATTTAACGAACACTTCTGGATTGAAGAGTTTGGAGAAGCGATTGCCACCAGACAGCCAGCTGACAGGGCCCACAATGCTATTTCAAGACAGCTGTAGAGTCGCCAAGTTTTCCAGTATCATCTCCTTGTTCATTTTCATTGGCATAATTAGAAATTACTTGGGAATAAAATAATAATCATTTGCCCCACCCCCACTCCTTTCCAATTAAATAGTAAAGGAAATGGAAAACTTACATGGCACTGTGGTTCCAAATCTAGTGGGATTCAACACTATGAACCTGTTTTTCAAGCTTCTTCGTCCCACACCTTGAGCTCCTATCAATACTAATGTCTTTCTCTGGAAGGGAGGCATTTTGGCTACCTCCTCATATATCTGGATTTCATGACGATCAAATTCTAAAAGTAAGGAAATGGGAAAACATCATATTCAGTTATCTTTTATTTTTTATTATTTTAAAATTAATTAATTTTTGGCTGCGTTTGATCTTCGTTGCTGTGCGCAGGCTTTCTCTAGTTGAGGCGAGCGGGGACTACTCTTTGTTGCGCTGCACGGGCTTCTCACTGTCGTGTCCTCTTCTGTTGCGGAGCACGGTCTCTAGGTGTGCGGGTTTCAGTAGTTGTGGCACGTGGGCTCAGTAGTTGTGACTCGCGGGCTCTAGAGCACAGGCTCAGTAGTTGTGGCACACGGGCTTAGTTGCTTCACAGCATGTGGGACCTTCCTGGACCAAGGCTCGAACCCGTGTCCCCTGCATTGGCAGGCGGATTCTTAACCACTGCGCCACATGGGAAGTCCCTCAGTTATCTTTTATATGGGTGAAAAACCTCTGCTATTCTGTTCAGTAATGGCTTAGCTGTCTTGATAGTTAAGTGTCACTTTAATTGTACTGACTTAGTACAGATTTTTAAAAATAAATTTGGTAAAGTACAATAAATTATTTTGTACCCTGATTTAAACACCTGCTTTTATTCATTTGCCTTAAAAAATTGTCTAACAAAACTAGAAAAATACCCTTACTTTATCCTTATCAGATAATCTATCCCTTAAAACCTGTTTCTTATTAATTCATCAGTAGAAATAATTACTTAATATAATCAAATTGCAAATTAGTTTATGTAATCTATTCCACTAAAAAGTGAGTATCACGTATGGAGGATAGCACTACACTTAGAGTGGCTGCTTAAATAAGTTTCATAGAATGAGTATCCCCTTCCAATGATATAAATGAATAAATACTGTGTGGTGAACTCTGCAAATATTAGTTTGATTAATAAAATGCATACAGACAACATACTAACATTTAAATATTAAGATTCTAAATTTATGTATAAAATAAAATGTTGGATCTTAACTATTTTCAGTAGAAACACATTCCAAAATTATGATCAATGGGAAAATTAGGAATTTTCCATTTTGCAAGAAAGCTTTAAGAATATATATTTAATGAACAATAAAGCCAGAGGATTTGAAATATTATATTACCTATTATTATGGCTATAACTTTCAATCTATAGTAATAACACTTCTTCCTTAGGTTATTATCTTAACAGCAACACTTTCTTTGCACAATTTCTCCACAATAGATTAAGGGAGAGTCTAATTTCCCCTTATTATTATTATTATAGTACATTATTGGATTATTTCCTTTCTAATGTGCTATTTAGTTTATTACCAATATAGAGGTAGCTCCGAAGTCAAGAAAGCACTTTAAAATTATCAATTCTTTTGAGTAAGCCTCCAGAGCCTTCTGATTCTAAGAGCTGCATTTCACTCCTATCAGCCTTTATAACTGAAAAGAATAACTGTGGTAGGTGTCATATTTATCTTTATTTAAGTCTAAAAGATTTAAGAAAGAATCCTACCAGATCAGGCTAAGATTTGTTTGGTCCAGTATTATTTTTCCAAAAGTATCATGGACAATGTTATGGCAGAATACGGTTGCCCTTAATCACAACTCTTTTATTATCTTTAAAAAAGGCATTCTGTTCTGTAGAAATGACACAAGTTTCTATCAAAGTTCTTGAACAAATAGTTTCAATTGTCACATTGTTCCTTCATTAATACAAGCATAAATCCTAACCAATTCATTTTCTTATAAACTATGAGTATAAAATAAAGCACACTAGTGATAGTGCAAGTATATATATCAGGATTTAAATCATGCCTGTATATTATTGTACCAAGTGTTCACATGGCAGTCCCTTGCAGCTGGGTACTAATCTGAATTAATTCATTTAAAATTATACATTTAGAGTGTATGCCACATTGAGAATGATATAAAGCTATTTCATACTACACTTGGATTTCTCAAAAATGTATTTAAAACATACCTGCATTTCTGGTTGTGAGATACATCATCTTTTTCTTTTTTTTGCTACTTATGGTTCCACAAAAAGGTCCTGAAGGATGACAAGGCAAATATAACTTAAACAGTATGTCAGACTATATACACTGCCCTGTGGTGTTCTATAGGGGTGGGAGAATTATCTTCCCAGTGTTGCATCCTACAAAGCAGAAGCAGGCAGGGGTGAGTTGAGCCACTGAATTCTGATACAATACCAGCAGGTGGCAGAAAGGGAACAAAAAGTTTACTTTTGAGAGCAGTACACTAAAGCAGATGAGAGGGATTAATTCCAGATATATTTTAAATAAATTCATCAGCTAATTCAGATGAAAGAGGCAAAGAAAGGTGGCCACAAAGGACTACTTGTTACTTATTGTATCGAGTTCTTCACCTGAATTGTCCCAGTCTCTTCTAACAAATGCCTTTCTCTTCTCTTCCAGGAACTGGCTTGGAATGAGACCAGCGCTTCCTCCCTCTTTTACATGGCTAGCCTAGAATCAAATTAATGAATTGTATATCTCAGTGATAAAAATTTGAGACCACATTCTAATAAGTAGGACAAGCAATAGTCAGTTAAAAAAAAATCACATTTGATCTTAAGAAACTGACCTTGATATTTAAATCCATGGCATTGTCAGGATATTGAAACACTTTAGTACTGAGGAATCAATGGGTACCTAACCGGTGTGCTATTTGGTAGTGAATTTTTAGACCAAAATACAAAGGTATACGGCTCTTTAAATTACTAAAACTTCTTATTTATAATACTAAACTAGTGAGAATGGAAAGGAATAAATGCTGTTATGTGTTGGCACCTAGTTAGGTGTTTGTTATCCAATAATCCTACTACGTTGGTATTTCCTGAGGCCAAATCAATGAGAAAAAAAAAAAAAGAGAGAGACAGCACTGGGAGAACAGAGTGGAGAGTTTAGTTCATGCTACCAGGAATCTGAATATCCTGAGGGGGAGTAAGTTTAAAATAGGTAAAACCTCACCTACTGTCAACAAACTAACTTAAAATGAAACCCAAAGAAGTGCTATTTCAAAATAGCGGCTGGAGAACTGGCTACTAATGGCTTATCCCACAACATTAGTGACTTTATGCTTACAGCTAGCACAGAAAAATCCAGTATCATTTTTAGCAATTAAAATCCTGAAAAATACAATTAGAGTAATAGATGACAAACATGCAGGAAGAGACTGAGATAGATAATGGTGACAGGTGATAGAGAAAACTGAGAGATGGCATTCACAGAGAAGGGAAAAAAGAGAAAACTGGGAAAGTTTAAAAAAGGACACTGTCACAGAAAGCAGATTTTTTTTAGATGAGTTCTAAGAAATTCAGTGGAAACCTCTTGAAATCATGGATTCCATTTAAACTACTCATTTCTTAGTTCTCTCACCACACTGTGCCCTTATACATCATAATGTCTTAATTTAAATTTAAGGACATATTAGCAAGACTGTTCTTATTCTTGTAATTCATTCCCCCTTAGAAGTCAATATAACTTATTAGAGGTAATGTGAGTTACTAATATCTCCATTTAATTCAGAACTTAGTGCTAGGTACCAGGTCCTTTTCTTTCACACTTTGTTCCTTAATGAGACTCTCTTTTGCTTTTACAGTTTAAGCGATTTTAGACTTTGTTTCTACAGTTCTGAATACTGTGGTTGCTAGTCAATGTAAACAAGTACAAAACCGGACTTATTACTTATGCTAGAGTTTTCTGAAAACTGTATTAATGGAAAGGAAAAGGAAGACCATCGCACGCATCTTCTGGAAAATGGAGGGCGGAAACACAGTGATAACACACATTCCTTTCCATACACACAGATTTCAATCCAAGACCAAACAACACGGATGATAAAGCAAGCCTTCATTTCTCAATTACTGAGAAGAGGTGGGCAAATGGATTTAAGACCTTAAGAAATTACGTTTTATTTGTCATGAATGTATACATAGAGGAGACAAGAGGAAGATTACTCTACCTACAGTAAAAGACTCCTAGTTAAGAGGAACAAACACTAAAAAGGGATGACCCCCAAGTGAGTTGTTCCTACCCAATACTATATTTTACTGCAATCACATGTGGAAGAACTGACTGGTCTATTCTCTAAACCAAGGGAAGAGAACCACAGGCTAGTTAATTCTGCATTTATTAACAGCTACTCACAAATTCCCTCTCAATTTGGTCTTCTGTCCTCAAAATTAGCAGCCATGAAGCAGGAGCTGTTCATGCAGGAAAAATCATTGGAACAAATGCTAATACCTTCTTCCTGAATATTCAGATATTGGCCAGATCTAAGATTAAAAATAAAAAGGCAGTTGAAGAGATTTTGAGAAGCATACTAACCTGCCACCAGTTTGGGTCTTCTCTGTTTACAATCTGAAGAATTTCTCCTTTTGAAAACTTCAATCCTGCTTCTTTGCAGGGTATCAGGTTATCATTGTATGGATTATAATCAAAATGACATTTCACAAATACCTAAAACACAGCACAATTAAAAATACTAGAGATGTATCATTTGTCACGGGATTTCTGAAATCTTTTTCAAAGCACTGTGATTTAATTGTAACTGACAATGTATTTAGTACTTCAACTAAGGAACTTGTTTTCCTTAAATAAGTATATAATTATTAGAACATTAATAATTTGGTATCAGAGAAGAAAATAAGAAATAAACGTTAGTACTACATTAAGTTTTTGTTTCTATTTTTAACTTCTAATTGTAAATCAACGGAGTTTGACAATTGTTTTCTTCCACCATTCTTACACTTTCTCTCAATCTTTTCACGTGATTTTCCAACCAACACTGCGTAATTTTTACGCAAGTAAATGCTACTTTTTAATTAACATTCTGAATTAATATATGCAGCTGATTTAAGGCATGTATTTCAGATATAATAGGACTGACTTCTTAAGTTTCCTGAAGCAAAAATTAAATACTAAAAGTTCATATTGAAATCAGACCTGAAATATATTTATTAAACTTAAAAAACAAAAAACAAAATACAACCCACTTTCATCCCTGGTAATAACATATATTTTTAATCACACAGATTCACACTAGCCAAAATTAGTGTGGAAAATACTTTTCTGGAATCATCTTGCTTTGATGTAAACGATCAGCATTAAATTAATTGTAAGACAAATACTGAAAAAGCCTTGAAACTATTTTCCAATTTAAATTCATTTAACCACACAAATTTCCTTTAAATCTGTTTTATTAATAAAAGTATGTCAATTATCACTATTAGTTATGATCTCCAATATCCAAAATATCTAGTTTTTTAATTTTAATTCTAATTAAGTTAAGCATTTTCAGTATTTGATGGCAAGTTCAGAGCAATTACTTTCTTAATACAGACTTTTTTCAGGCATATTTATAGAAATTCAAATTTTATCTGCTAAGGAACTGACTTAGTATTAATCAGCAGGTAAACTAGCAGGAAAGCACATAATTAGTCAAATAACAATGTTATTTTTCTATTTATCATACTTCTATAAATATAACCAAACAAGATATTCAAATAACACAAGCAGATATATTACATTATTAGTGTACTAAAATGTAATGTGATGGATGCACATTAAAAATAAATTTGGGAACATGACAAAATTTTAGTTACTTACAATTGGATGATTTTGACACAAAGCATTCAGAATATTTTCAATAACTTTTGAAAGGCTAAATATTAATGCTTAAAAAAATCAGTAAGCCAATAATTTTTTTCCTGATATAGAATTTTAGAAATATCTCAAAGGCAAGCATACAAACAGTATTAAGATTGCTAAAATGTGACAACTGGCTAACTTGACAATGGCATGCAGCTCAATGTTTTGGCAATGGAAAATACCCAAAATGATTAAGTGTAATTAAGGTAAATTTAGCTGGCTGATAAGACAGAAAAACAGAGTACCAGAGAATCTCCTGGAATGACATCATACCTGACGGACATGTGATGGATGCCTCTCCATATTGATGCAACTCTAAAAATATATTTTTCATTGCATAAATAAACTTTAAACTGATAATAAATTAAAAAAATACAAACTACTGGCCCATTTTTACTTCACTCATTTTGGTAAAGCAACTACTTCCCTAATTAATTGTCCACAGGCTATAACACCTGAAAATGATACAAGCAAAAGTTAGAGGTGTTTGAGATGAGGCAGAGAAGAAGGATATGGATATGCAAAGTTGTAAAAATACTTGGATACTCCTTACTTCTCAAGAAAGCTGCACTGAATTAATAGTAAGAGGATCCTGTCATCTAATCATGAATGTGTTTATTATTCTTATCTGTGGGACAGAATATATCTTACAACAAAAGGCTCAGACTTTCTGAGTTAGTCCAAGTTTCAAATATTCATTTCCCTACTCTCATCAAATTGTTCTGGAAATGTCATTATTTGTCAAACAAACCACATCTCTCCAATATAAAAGATTTCTGGAAGAAGCAATTCTATTTTTTCATTAACCAAATTAGTTTTGGAACATTACTCTCAAGCTCAAAAACTCAGATTAAACTAGTTTTGCTCTGAACTTTGAAAATTTGTCTGAAAAATCAATGAACCCAACCTTTGATCTAAACATTTTGTAATGACCTTTAAATCACAGAGTTTTGACTAGATTTAGTATAATTGTATTTTACTAAGTACATTTTAAAGTGTTTCATCAATAGGCTATGAATGTTAACTGTTCATTGGTTATTAAGAAGTTACTAAATACAACTGGCTAATATATTTCAATCTCATATTCTTCTTATCTCTAACAGAACTGAATAACCAACAATCTAAAGTAGAAGGAAGAGAAAAAAGAAAGTACAAATGGCTTTTAAACACAGGAGGAGATGTTAACCTCACTCAGAGTAGAAATACAAATTAAAACTATACTATAATAACATTTCCTTCCTGTCATATTAGCAGGAATCCAAATATTTGATAACATTCTGTAGATAGGAAAATGCCTATTGGCCCATAGTCCTAACAGGTTGGTGGAAGAACTGGTTTAATCCCTTGGGAGGACAATTCAGCAAAGCTATCAAAATTATAAACGCAAAAAACCTCTGACCTAGTAATCCACCTCTGGGAATGTGTTCAACGGCAGTGTTACTTAGATATATGCAAAATGACTTACGTAGAAGACTATTAACGATTGAATATGTCCTAATCACAAAAGATTGGAAGCAATCTTAACTGTTTAACAATAGGGAGTGAGGACTAGACTGGTAGTAGATTAGGAGGGAGATTTCAGCTGAACACATATTCCTATTTCTTGACTTCTAGAACCATGGGAATGATTCACCTATTCAAAAATTAAATTCTTATGGTAATGAAAGTAGAGATAAAATGACTCCCACTGACTAAAAGAAGTAACAAGGACCCACCCTCTAAACTGAAACAACTAAAATACTGGACAAAACATATGAAATGTTGTCAAGACATCAGACAACGAAGACAGTGATCCCTAAAAACTGGAAATAAACAAGATGAACTATACAATTGCCCCAATTAACTGCACAGAAAAAGTTTCCAGGTTGTAACCCAGGAAGGGGGACGCTAGGTAGAGCCTGGTGGTCTACAAGTTGAGGAGATGAGCTGAGAGACAGGGAGATCAAGGGGGTTACAGTGCACAGAACAGAGTGACAGTGAGGAAAGGGTTACACAGAGAAAGGGCTCAAGAACTAGAGGACTCCCTCCAGCGTTCAGCTGAGTACTGGTCAGTGCATGTCATGAGTACGATCAGGTAAAGAATCAGTATTATGGGGAACAATATCAGGAGGTCATGCAGGGTCAGAAATAGTTTCTGTTATCACCAGTGTGAGTGGAAAAACCTCATAATTCATGAAGCATTCAGTATTCGGAAGGGTTTTGCCCTAGATTTAATCCTACTCTGGTTGCACCTAACAAAGCTTAAGCACAATCTGAAAGGATCTAACTGCTCCCACATAATGTAACTATCCTAGAACAAAACCTGAGAGTATTTCTAAGAATACAAAAATATCTAGCACTCAGCAAGGTAAAATTCGTATCTGGCAGCCAATCAAAAATAACCAGACATGCAAATAAGCAGGAAAATACAACCTAAAATATGGAGAAAAATGAACCAATTAAGAGTGACCCGGAAATGACAAATGGGACTGATTTAGTAGGCAAGGACATTAATATAGTTATTTTTAACTTTACATATTGTAGTCATATGTTCAAGAAGCTGGAGGAAGGATTCGGCATGTTAGGTAGAAACACAACAGATATAAAAAGGTTCCATTCAAATTTCTAGAGATGAAAACAAAAATATCTGAGATGAAAAGTACACTGGATATGATAAACAGACATTTTAGAACAAAAAATAATAAATTTGAAGACAAAGCAATAGAAACTGTCCGACATGAAAAAGTGGGAGAAAACAAGACTGAATAAATGAAGAGAGTGTCAGTGAGCTATGGGACAACTTTAAGGAGCCTAATACGTATAACTGGTGTCACCAAAGGACAGGAGTAACAGAGGAACAGAAAAAATATTCCAAGTAATAACAATCAAAAAATTTCCAAATCTAATGAAAGAGTCTTTTTAACAACTGAAAAGAAACTGGAAAAATTGGATACCTACATGCAAAAACAAAAACCCCAAACCAACGCTTTGATCCATATCTTATACCCTATATAAAAACGCAGTGTAAATGGATCACAGAGCCAGATGTAGAGTGTACAATTATAAAACTTTTAGAAGAAAACATAGGAAAAAATCTTTATAACCATGTGTTGTACAAAGATTTTTTCACACAGAACAAAAGCATGATCCATTTAAAAAAATAGACAAATTAGACTTCATCAAAATTAAGAATGTCTGCTCTTTGTATTACAGTGTTAAAAGAATGAAGACAAGCCCCTTCTCACTTTGAGAAAATCTTTGTAAATCATAATTTCGATAAAGTACTTGTATAAAGACATAAAGAACTCTCAAAGCCAAATAATAAGGAAAAGAACAACTCAATAAAAAATGGATGAAAGATTTGAAGACATCACCAAAGTAGTCATAAGCATGGCAAATAAGCACATGAAAAGATGCTCAATATTAGCAGTCATTAGGGAAATGCAAATTAAAATCATGATGAGACACCATGACACACCTATTAGAATGGCTAAAATTATAAAGACTGACCATACCAAATGCTGGTGAAGATGTACAGTAATTGGAACTTTCCTATAGTGCTGGTGGGAATGTAATTAGTACAACCACTTTTGAAAACAGTATGGCCATTTCTTTACAAGTTCAACATATGCCTACCAAATGACCCAGTACTTCAACTCTTAGGTATTTACCTGAGGGACTTACATGTAAATGTCCATAGCATCTTTATTTATAATAGCCCCAAACTGGAAACAACAAAAATGTTCATTAGCCAGTTAATGGATAATCAAACTGTGGTACAGCCATGCAATGGAATACTACTTGTTAATAAAAAGGAATCAACTACTGAT